TCATAATTTCCTTATAGAATTAAAAGTAATGTGAGCAATGCACATTGCTTGTTAAATGGGAAAAGCCTTTTAAAATTTGTCATTTAGATTTAAAACTACATTAAAAATTAACTTTGTAATATAATCTTAAGGAAACTTTGTTTTAAGAACACACTTTGAGCTTGAGAGAGTATATATATGGCTGTGAAAGAGGTTCTCTTAATAAAAAAAAGTTAGGAAATGGTAGACTAGGTGGATCTCTAAGATCCCTCTCAGAACCAGAATTTCGCGACTAAGAGCTATAAATGTGAAACAATTGGAAACCACTATAACACAGTATTAATTAATGTATTCATTAATTCAGAAACTATTTGAGTATCCACTATAACAGGCACTGGGGACATAATTTTAAAAAAGCAGATACCATCTCTGCTCTCATAGAGCTTACTGTTGGTAGGTGAGACAGATATTAACCACATAAACCACATGAAATTTCAATTATGATAAGCAGTAGGGAGAGGAAGATGGTACTGTAAGTGCTTATAAGAGGGGGGTTTGATCTGGTCAGGAAGTCCAGGAAAGATTTGCTTGAGGAAGTGAAGAAGTTCCAGGCAGAGAGAAGGGCCTGTGCAAAGGTCCTGTGGAATGATGGAATACAGCGGATTGGAACATCAGTGTAGCTAAGAGCAAAAGGGGGAATGGTTTGAAATGAGGCTGTAGAAATGATAGGTACTAAAACACAAGGGCCTTGCAGGCCACAATTAAGGAGTTTTGTCTTTATCATGAAAGCAGTGAGGAGTCATTCAAGGATTTCGAGCCGGGGTAACACGATCAGATTTGTGGTTTGGAAAGTACATCATGTACAAGCATGATAAAAGTGCACTGGAGTTGAAGAACATGAATATAAAGAGAGAGAATATACAAAAATAAGACTGAAATAGTGAAGTATTTTTAAAGGAAGACTCAAGCTAGATTTAGATGATGGACGAATACTGGCAGAAGGCTAAAGCATCTCTAATTAGGGGAAGAGAACTAACAAATAGAGGACAGGAACGAGCATGCAGATGGATGATAAAAAGGCTTAGTTGGCTGTAGTGGACACAGGAGGCTGGGTACATATCAGATCAGCTAACATGGCTTTACGGGCTGGGTTACTAAATATAGAATTAATCATGTAAAGTAAAATTGAGCCATTATAGGTTCCTGAGCATAGATGTGAATAAAATGATAAAGACTCAAGACACTAATAATAAGTATATAAGATTAAGTGGCAATGGTGTTCGGTTTATAGGTATGGAGGTTAATCCAGGAATAAAGCGATGTGGCTCTCTGTTAGGATAGCCAGTGGCTGTGGAAGTAGCTGAGAACCTAAAAGGCATCTTGAAGGAAAAACTGGCTGTAACAGGTGAACAGATATGGAAAAGAGGAAAGTCAAGGTTATAGATCTGATAAGCCAGGCTAATTAGGATGCCACAAATGATGATAATACAGATTTATTGTGCCTTCTCAATGCTTTCTGATCATAGCGTTCTGCATTTGCCTGGGTAGATAGCAGCTCAGCTTATGTAGTACCTTCGTAGGTCGAAGAAAACAAATTGCTTTCAGGTGTTTCATAATCTCTCGATTTGGAGAATCAACGCGTTCAAAAAGGTACACTTCTTTCTGAAGAATCTCTGACTGCGTGTATACCATACTCACTATGCCGGTCTGTAAAGAAAGAGAATTGCTAATATTATGCTGGTCCGGAATAAGAAAAACAAGCATTGTACCTAAGCCTTAATTTTTTTTCATTATCCTTAGCTGGATAACTTACATACTAACACATGTAAAAGCATTTACTGAGCATCCCAAACATGTAGATAATGTACCAGAATGAAAGAAAACATGCTCTCTCCAAACATGAACAATCCATAAATTTCCAAAGGAAAAAAAAAAGTTCTCTCATCTTATTTTAAATTCTGTGATCAACAAATAATAATTAACCTGTCATCTCAGCTTGAGCCCCAAGAGCTTTACTTTAAAAACCGATTTCTCACCTATGTGTAGGCAGAAACATTTAGAAAAGGATTTCAGATTCCAAAAAATTGTTCCGGGTACAATAAAAAATCTCTGGCAGTGGTTAAAAGCCATTTAGTCTGACAACCTATTAGGCAAGCTTTATACAACCTTTCAGGTCCACCCAGAACTGACCCTCATTTAAAAATCTTTAATAACAAATCCCACAGTGGAATGGGACCAGCTATTGTAAGGGAGGGAGGGTTCCCTCACAAACGAATACTGAGTAAAAGCAAACTCACCGTCTCTTTATCCATGAGAAGTACTTTCATACCCGGTCCGCTGTCCTCTATCATTTTGGAAATGTACTGCTTCACAGCAAAAACCACGTTCATGGTGGCGAATTGACAGGTTAGCACCAAGCCCTTCCCGCCCCCTTTTTTCTTGCTAAATGAACCCCCGGCCTTTTGGCCAGGTCTCAGCGGCTTCCTCCCCGTCGGGCTTCGGCTTCCGGAAGTCCGGGCAGCCAGCGTACTGGGAGTTGTAGTTCCGAGGCGCGGTCCGGCGGACCAATCCTGTCGGCGGGGAGGAAAAATCCGGCGGAGACACCCAGGGCTGCCCCGCCCGGACGGGATCGTCCACCCACTTCCAGCCTGGAGGTGTTGGAGGCTTGGGCTCCGAGGCCTCTCCCGGTCCTTGGTCCTGGGTGCCCCGGCCTGAAGGCTCCCCTGCTGGTTTGGGGAGAGGGTGGCGCCTCACGGTGTGGAGGAACTTGGCATAAGGCTGGCTCGGAGGCGAGAACAGAGCGTGGCTGTGGTCACTCTGTGCCATGAACACTTTCTTGAGTGGCAGTGAAGGGCGAAGTGAAGGGAGGTGGCGTGGTGCTCCCGGCTGCTCGGGACTCGGAGGGACGGCACTTGGTAAATCGCAGGCTGTACTTTCAAAATAGTGGTCGAGATCCGTTTCCCCGGCTTCACTGGGTCATTAGCAAGGCGAGCCCTGTCCCCCTGCAAGGCGAGGCCCGAGTTGGTGTTCCGAGGACGGATGGAGCATCTGAAATTGAACAAATGTTTGTTGAATGAATGAACAAAGGGAACGCCCTTTAGGGATGTTTTGGGCGAGGCCTCAGATCTCCCAGGAAGACCTGGATCGACCCGGGGTTCGGCACCACGGCGGTTGTATTCCGCGGGCTCCAACTCGCGCGGGGTGCAGGGGAGGCGCTAAGTTAACACGGTCAGAAGTGGGTAGGGGGCACGCATCCGGTGGGGCTAAAGCGAAGTATCGGGGGGTTTTCATTGAAAACTCAGATTTTGATTTAAGAAACCACAAAAGCTTAGCAACAAAATAAATCTTAAAGCCATCAACCTCCAAATGTCTTCATATGTGTTTATACCCCGCAGGCCTTCTATCAGGCCATTTCTAGAAAAGGAGGGTAAATGTTAGTTTTCCTTCTCCTTTACGTTTGGGGGTTGTAAAATCAGGAAGATAAGAAACAACTGCAGCTATTTATATAACTATAAATGTTTGTAAATATTTCCACCAAAAATAATAATCAGTGTTTGTTGGGGTCAGTTTAATCAAAAGGTTCAAGATTACCAAATCAGGCATTTTTTCATCATAACCAAATCAGGCATTTTTTCATCATATTATAAGAAGCATACAAGTAAAACTATACCCAGAGCACGTTAACCATCTAGCTGTTGAGATTACTTTATAAAACGTTATATACAATTTTTAAATAATTTAAAGGAGATCAGAAGCCACTTGAAATATAGATTTTTGTCACCTCAGAGATTGTGAAGAATGTGGTTGTTTTCTCTCTTTTTCAATGTTCCTACCAAGTAAATAAAACTTCCGGTTGGGCATTTTTTTCTATTCTTGAGATACATTTTGAAACAAAAGTTACACTAAAATGAAAGTGTGAATCTTTAAATGGATACAAGTGAGAACAATCTAATGTTTGAAAATTCTATTATCAATTTAAAATATTCATATATTATAGAAAACAGCAAACCAATGCGAATGAAAAATGAAACACCTACAAATCCTGTAAGTTACCAATATTTGAAAAGTCACCTCCACTAACCTGTCACTTCTTTTTTGTTTTTTCTTACCTATAATTGGGACTTCAATATAGTATAAGATTGTTTTCCATTTTGTGATTTTTTTTTTTTAGAAAGAATAAGGAGAGAAAGGCTTGTTCATGAGATTTGTGCTTTTTTTAGACAATAGTCAGTCTGTAAGTAATGCATGGAAAAAACTGCATCCTTTTGGTTATTTATACTTGGACAATTATAACATTTTAAAAGAAGAGGAAATACCTATTTTGACAAGGCTTCCTAACTCGTTCCATTGCCATGAAATTCCACTGATGTCAGTGGCAGTGTTATTTTATATTTATACATTGATAAGATGTGGAATGTAAGCATTTTGTACAAAATAGATATTATGTATTTAAAGGATGCTGTGATGGTCCTGAAGTTTGGCAGCCTATTTCCTGTCTGAAGAAAACTCCAAAAGCCATTTTAAATGTGTCCAGGTTAAGACTTCTTTTCTATCCCTGTACCTCTAAAAATAGGACTGAAAGCAATGATACAGTCCAAACTCATGCTTTGTGACTCATCCAGGATAAACCCAGAGTGACTTATTTTGTTGTAGGTAAGACATAGCAAATTCAAAAGCCAATATGAAGTACTATACTTATTTTTTTATTTACAATGTAAATAAATTGTAATAAGAAATCTTTTCAATAATGAAGGCCTCAAATTTAAAAAATAAATCATGACATTCTTCAATAGTAGTGATTATACCAGTTATAAAGGTTTCTAATGCAGAATTTATTTTCACTATGTCCAAGAAATCTCTGCTTTAAGGATAGAAAACAGGAAGTTAAAAATATGGTATTTACATTTGTTCCTTTTGCTTAGATTTGTGTGTGTAATGTGTGTGTAAATGAAATAATCAGGAATATTACACGTGCTTCAGATTTCTGCAAAGTATATCCTATTTAGAGGTTTACCCATTTTATATTTAATCCAAATCATGTTTTTCTACCATAAAAATTCAAAGCTTGATATAAAACAAAGGATATATAAGTAAGCTTCAGTATAATTACAATAACAATATGGCCAACTCTTAGTTGTCTTAGATGATTAATTATCTACCATGCTCCTTGTTGTGTGTGTTAACATTTCTCCAACAAGCCCTGGATAGCAGGGAAGTAAAGATATTCAAATTCGATTTCCTACTTGTTAACAATTGATAAAATATTTAGATAAAGAATGATATTATTGCTAGTGTCAGACAGTCCTTGCGCAATATTCTTAACCTCTCTGACCAGTTCCTTTTCTGATAGATGGTGATAATATAACCTAATGAAATTGTCAGAATTGTGAAATAATGTGCAGGAAAACATATGCCTGGCACATAGTAAATGCTCAAAAATATCAGCTTTAATTATTTGAAATCAAAAGGTAGACATACCTTTTACCTTATGTTTTTTACTTAAGCCATATTTTATTTCCCTTTGACAAGAAAATTAAAAAATAAAGTCAATTTCAGAATTTGTGAACTATAGCTTCTAAATATAATTTCCATAATAACTTTATCTTGCATTACTATACAATAATAGACATGTTAGTGGTTAGATTTGACCTCTTCCATCATAATTTGTAAAGCATACAGTTTTCACGAAAACAAAAATATGCTTCAAGTGATTTCAGAAGAACATGCTTACTGTCCACCCAGCCTCAAATCAAACAGAATTTCTTTAATTTTTGTCAGAGTTGGTGGTTTAGTACTGAACTTTATGGTAGCGAAAGCATTGAATAGGTTTAAATCATTATGTAAAGATTATTTGGGGCCGGCCAAGTGGCTCAGCTGGTTAAGAGCTCACTTGGGACACCAGCTCTGAGCAGCAGGGCTGCGGTTTGGATCCCACATTGAGGGCCAGTGACGCTCACCCTCTACAGCTAAGATGGTGAACAACAGCTCAACCTGGAGCTGGGCTGCTGTGAGTCGCCGGCGACGGCATAGGCTGCAGCAGGGCTGCAGTGGGCTGCTGTGAGCTACATGAGTGGCTGGCAGCCAGTGTGAGTGGGTGGTAGCTGGTGTGAGCTACTGGGAGCCGCTGTGAGCGGCCCACCAATATCTGGCGATGGATTGCCTCACCTGGGAAGAGCACAATGATCATGCCAACATGGGCCAGTGAAGTGATGTCCTCCACAACTAGGCTGAAGAACAAAACAGCAACTTGTCTACCTGTCTGTTCCCCTTCCCTGATTCCCCAACGCTGTTCCCCTCCCCCCAATTCCCCAATAAAAAAATATAAAAAGATTATTTGCATGATGCGTTCTGTGTCCATATTCAGGAATTTCAGTGATTCCATCTTTCTAGTGGTGATGTTAACTTTGATTAGTTGGGTTAGGTGGTGCGTGCCAGGTTTCTCCACTGTAAAATTACTATTTTTTCCTTGTAATTACTAAATATCATATGGAGAGATATCTTGATGTGTTGCAGATATCCTATTTTTCACCATACTTTCACCTGCTAATTTTTTTTTTTTTTAAGCTGGGCCATCCTGCCACCTTTTGGCAACTCAGCTCCAGCCAGGAATCGAACCGACAACTCTCTTGCTCAGAGCTCACACTCTTGAGTGAGCTCTTAACCAACTGAGCCACTTGGCTGGCCCACACCTGCTAATTTTAACTAAACTCCATCGATGGTTTTTGCTGCAACAATTGATGTTAAACTAATGGTAATTATTTTCCTCATTTCTCCTACAGTTGTTATTTTGAATTCTGTTAAAAAGATAAAAAGAGCTTTCCATTCCCCCATTTATTTTTTTCAATCATTTATGTCAGTAGACTCATGGATAGTTAAGACAATTATTACCTTTAAGTAATAGAAAGCATAGATAGAGGCTGAGACTGCAGGCTCTGGATTTGATTCTGCTGGAGGACTTTGTCAGGTTACGTAAGTGTTCTATGCCTTAGCTTCCTCATTCGTAAATGGAGAAAAATAACACCTAACCTCAGGTTGGTATGAGAATTAAGTGAGATACTACATGTAGGCTTTAGCCTAGCTTTCATTACTTCTCTTAGCAAATATTTTGTCTGTGAGTAGTTTTACCATTTATAAGTTTCCCCACCTACAAACTGAATATAAAAATACTTGTCATGTGCTTGCCTCCCTGAGGAATTATTAAAATTCACAAAATGAAGTCAAAAGTACTTTGTAATATTAAAGAGATACAGAAGTTCTTATTTCTAAAGAAAAAAGAAGATTGAACTAGAATAGAGTATTGCTAAGATCCCTTTTATGGTTCGATTCTTGGGCTGCTCTTTGTGTTAGAAATTTTGATAACTATAAAGTGTGATGAAATTATTTTTAACATTTTAGATGTTTCAAGAAATAGGCAAGATATATGAAATAAGTACCAGAAAATTTATATTCTTATAAATCCTTAAGTTTCATTAGTGGTAAAGGAGTCTTAATTACTATATATATATA